TTTAAAATTTGTATTATCTCACAAAGGTCCTAAGATCAGAGATCACAGGTTTATATATCTAGGGCTGGAAGAAACTCCTTCAAGGTCCTCTTGTACAATTCCCTCATTTTAAAGATGAGAAAAATGAGGCCTTAGAGAAGTTCCATCAGTGCAACTCGAGCTACCTCCTGTAGGCCTTACATGACAGAATCTTGTTTTAAACTTAGATCCCTTATGTCTTCCCCTTAAGTGTATCTTAATCGCTTTATAGTTTTCTATTACATAAATAATATTACTGAAGTTGTAGTGCTTGGGGGACCCCCACTCCCACTTCACAGGGTAGGTCCACTGGAAGAAGGCTACTCCAGGTTTAATGAATGAACAACAACAACAACAAAAAAGCATTTATTAAGTAAAGCACTAATGTTGGAGGTGGCTTTAACACCAGGAACTGAGGATTTTGGCAATTCTTACTTTAGGTTCAATGTTGGGATAAAATGAGGCACTAGCAAGTCTGATGAGGGAAGGTAATGGTTGAAGTAGTGGCAATGGTTTGACCTACTTGGCATAGGCTTTTTCTTATTTTTCCCTCAGGGCAGCTTGCTGGTTTGGCTAAGCTGGTTTGTCTTCTCTGTTGGTAGCTGACAGTTGAACGAATGGTGTTGGTGGGCATTGGGATAGAGGACCCAGCCTTGAAAGGGGTTGCTTTTAGGCAGAATTTCCCTCAATAAACCTGGGTTGCACTCTCCCACAAGTACATACACCATCTGTGGGAAGAGTGAATACACAAAGGGAGCACATATGATCACTAATACACATGGAGGAGCATACAAATAAGCAATATGTGTGACTATGGTACAGGTGTGGAGGGGCAAGTTCTGATGCTTTAGGGCAGCTGAATGCTTCTAGTGATGTCATTGTACAGCTCTCACTGAGCCTGCTTCCCACTGGATGCTGCTTTGCTAGACAGCACTCCTCTGGACCTAAGGGTCTTGGCAACTCTCTCAGTTCAAAAGCAAGAGACTTTTTTAAAAAACAGCTTTTTTTAGAAAAGCAATTATTCTTACCCAGTTGTTACACTAGCAACATCCCTAGGAAAAATCTTTTGGTTTCTTTTTTAGTTCTTTAAGTAGCCCTCCTATTTGTTTCCAGTCTAGCCAGACTGAATTTCATCTATATACAGTTGGAGCTTCTTTAGTCCTAAGCACCAAGCTCCTCTTCCCAGCTAGAGTATGCCTTCAGGCTCAGCTTTTTTCTTTGGACTCCCCTTCACCGTCTATCCTCTTGGGTCTCTTGCCCCAGTTTATGGTGAGGATTCCCTATACATCTTGATTTTAATCTCTGAAGTCAAGATTATACCTGGTTACTATCGATGCAAGAGTTATTAACTTAATATCTACCAAATAGCTTAAAGGTTCAGGATTCCCCAGTTTTCCAATTCCAAATCTATTTTCCCTCATAGATGAGTAAATGAGGTAATGATAAAGTTAAACGTAGGAGGCCCCAGTAGACTCCATATTCTTGGCTTCTCATATGTAGGTACAGCCCAGAAAGACCGAAAATCTTTGAGCTCATCTTTACACAAATTATTTCCCCACTGTTGGTGGACTTTTAAACTGCTTCCAGTCAAAATAGCTTTTTCTTTTTAATACTCAAAGGATATACTCTTAACAATGGAAGCATTTGGTCAAAGGGTATAATCATTTTTATAATCTGCTGAACATCACCCAGTTGGTCCCCAGGAAGATTCTATAAGTTCGAAATTTACCAGCAATAAACAAACGTACTTGTTTTTCTACAACCATGGCAGCAGAGTTTCATTATTTTTAGTCTCTCCATTTTGATGGGTGTGAAGAGATTCCTCCAAGTTGTTTTAATTTGTACCTCTTTGATTATTGAGATTAAGCATTTTTTTCAAGTGAGAATTAACAATTTCTATTTCCTCTTTTGAAAATAGACTTCATATTTTTTGACCAGTTATCTATTGTGGACTACAGTTACCACCTTTTTTTTAAGTTCCTTTTTTTTTAGATGCCAGATTTTTATCTCTCAGGCCTGTCACAAATATTTCCCCCAATCTGTTATTTTTCTTTTAATTATATATTCTGCTCCACAGACTTTTTTTAAATTTTAAGTCAAGCACACCTATCTTATTCTCAAGCTTCAAGAATTCTATTTGTGGAACAAAAAGTCTTCTTTCCATCATTCAGAGAAATAGTCCTATTTTCTATCATCTTTTTTCTAGAGTTCTTTGTTTCCAGTTTAATCTTTTCTTTCAGCTGTAATTCACTGGTGTATATGGCATAAAACATAATTCCAAATTCCTTTTCTGCCAAATTGGAAGTCATTTTCCCAAGTACATTCATTAAATAATTTCCCCCAATTCATATTTACTAAAGGTTGTCAAACACAAATCTTTTTTATGTATTTGGTTGGATGACTGGTGAATTCATTCTATTTCATTGATCTATTTCTTTATTTTTTTGCCCAGTTCAAAGAAGTTTGGGCAATAATCACTTTGTAATATTTTTGGTTCCAAAGCACATTTTATTTCATTCTTTTTTTCTTCTAAACTTAACGAACATTTAAAAAAAATATTTCCACATACAAGTAGAACAGAAAAGAGTATTCTGTGATACCATGAATCTCTTTTATCTATGGCTTGCTTCTTAGAAAGTATATAATAAAGTGAATGTCATTTTCAAAGGTGGCCTGCTTTTTTATGTTTCCATCACCTCTCTCCTAACCTCCAGACTTGCATTTCTGACTATGGTACATCTCAAAGTGGATGTCCCATAGACATCTTAAACTCACCATGTCTCAAACTAAACTCATTATCCCAAAACCTGCCCTCTTCCTAACTTGTCTGTTACTGTCAAGGACACCACTAACCTCCCAGTCACCCAAGCTGACAATCTAGGTGTCATGCTGGACACCTCACTCTCTCTCATCCCACACTTCCAAACTGTTGTCAAGGCCTGCTGATTTTACCTTCATAACATTTCATCCATCTGCCCCCTTCTCTCCTGTGATACTGCTAACCACCCTGGAAGGCCCTAATCATTTCACACTTAGACTACTGGAATAGCTTTTTGATGGGTCTTCATGCCACAAGTTTCTAACCAATATAGTCTTCCACTCAGTTGCTGAAAGAGATCTTTCTAAAACATAGATCTAGCTATGTCACTGATGCAGTTTAGGGGTTCAGGGGTCCTAGGACCCCAAAATCACAAATGCGGATCCTGCCCAAAAGAATTCCACCCAAGCCTTCTTTCAGCCACAGACAAGGTTTATTAGAACATCCATCATATTGGGCAGACTCTTAAGGAGTCGGAACATGGGTAAGCAGTGGCTAGATTTTAAGAATCTAAGCCTTGGCTAGATTATAAGAATCCAAGCATCTTCATGGGGACGAGATAGACCTTATATACAGAAAGACTGTGGAAGGGACCTAGGAGTGGCCAGTAAGCTGGGGTGAACAGAACTCCTGGGACCTGAACCTCTTGGCCAAGGGAGGATGGAGCCTAGTTAGGATTAAGGGTGGGAAATGGCCGGGGGCCATAGGGAGGTAAGACAATGGAGGGGAGACTGGGTGCAGCCACAAAGAAAGGCCAGTTGATGGGATATAGCTTCAGGCGAATGCCAAGAGATCTGGCCAAGTGAGAAAGTCCAGGGTTTTTCCTTTCTGGGGCCTAGATCCCAACCCCACCATCACCACCACCCCAACTTGATAAATGATAGTGGCTGCCAGTTACCTCAAGGATCTGTTTAGCACTCAAAGGCCTCCATACCCTGCCCCCTCCCTCCAATATTTCCAGGTTTCTCACACCTTCCTTTCACATACTTTTCCATCCAGTGACCCCGACTTTGGGATGTTCCTCTAAAAAGACACTCCAACTTCGAGCATTTTCACTGCCTGTTCCCAGTGCCTGGATTGTTCTTCCTCCTCATTTGCACCTCCTGGCTTCCTTCAAGTACCAGCTAAAAATCAACTTTCTGCAAGAAGTCTTTCCCAGTCTCTCTTAATGGTAGTGTTCTCCCCTGATTACTTCCTATTTATCATGTATTCAGCTTTTCTGTACATACTTGTTTGCATGTTGTCTCCCCCATTAGACTACAAGCTTCTTGAGGACAGGGGCTGTCTTTTGCCTTTCTTTGTATCCCCAGGGCTTAGCACAGTGCTTGGCACACAGTAAATGCTTATTAACTGTTGGCTGAATGACCTAATTTTAAACAGATCAATTTGTGTCTAGGCCACAAGATGAGAGAAGAAAAATTGAGAAAGTTCTAGAATCCAGGGGCCTACATGTCCAACCCTTGCTCTGGGAACTTGGGTGAGGAACTTCTCTCTGTTCCTCAGTCCCTATACCTGTAATATGGGGACGATACCTCTTTCTCTTTCCATACCACTGAGAACAGAAAAGAGAAAATCTTATTTAAGTTTGGGGGAAGTTGGGGATGAAAAAGGTTCTACTGATGTTATCACAACACAATCAGTATTGTATTTATCACATCGATACCACCTCAGAGGTATCTAAATTATTTAAGACGCTTTTCAATTTTTAAAGCGCTACATAAATGCTGGCCATTATTCAAATTGCCGCGTTAAGAGAGGAGCGTCCAAGCTCCGGAACTGAGTATTAATAGCAACAGGTTTTGTCCCGGACAACTACATAGTGCTTTCCGGTTCAGAGGGACGGATGCGGCCTACTTCCGATTAGCCGGTTTTCCGTGGGGTGGGCCTGGGGTAGGTGATTGTGGGAGTCAGATTCCGCACCCCTCCCTACCTTTCACAGTCTGTACAGTAAGAATGGGGACAGCTGCCTGTCCCATCGGCGTGTTGGTCGGGGGTATGGGGCACAGGCTAGGGCCAATGCCCTTTGCTAGGCACCACCAGTGATCTCGGAGCCCCGATGGAAGCCGTACTGAGAAACCAGAGCTCGTTTCTGCCCGGAACCTCGTCCGGGTTGCTCTCCCGCGGAGTTGCGGCTGCGCACTGAGCCTCTTTGCCGCCGCCGCCTCTTTTTCTGCCGCCGCCGCTGCAGCTCCTCTGGGGCTTGTCGCTCTCCTCTTCCTCAGATCCTCGCTGTCCCGACTCCAGGTGCGTGAGGTGGAGGGCAGAGTCGGTGGGGCGGGGCGAGCTCGGCACGCGTGGGGAGGCCCTTGCCCGTCTCGCCGCCGGGAAAGGGACCCGCCCCGAGCGGGGGCGGGGATGGGGGGGGTGAGGCAGGCCTCTTCCTTCCTTTCCTCCCCTCCCCCGTTGCTCTTACTGAACTGTCTGCGCCCGCCCCCTCCCCGTCCCCATCCCTGCCCGGAGCGCGTGCGTGAGTGAGTGTGTGTGAGTGTGTGTGTGTGTGTGTGTGTGCGCGCGTGCGTGACTGTCTCCATGCGTGACTGTCTGACTCCGTCCGCATGGGGCGGGGGCGGGGGCGGTGTCTCAGGCCCCTTCCCCAGCTTGACAGCTTGAATTCTTTCTCCAGCCTCTGTAGGGATCGGAGGGAAATGCGCCAGACCACCAGTTAGGTAACACTTTTTAACTGTTTGTATGGAAAGGCCAAGGATGAAAGGGAATGATGGCGTGGGCGGAGTTGAGGGGATAATAATATTAATAACAACTAGCATCTCTAAAGCTCTTTAATTTGGAAAACACTTTGCAAATATCTCATTTTGTCTTCACAACAACCCTGAGAGGTAGGTGTAGGAGGATAAAGTAAGCTACTTCCCTAGAAAGGGAAACGCACCAGACAACCAGGTAACATTTCTAAACTGTTTTGTGGGGAGGCCTAGGATGAAAGGGGTTAATGGTGTGGGTGGAGTTGAGATGTTAATAAAATTAATAAGAACTAGGATTTTTAAAGTGCTTTAAGGTTTGAAAAGCACTTTCCAAATTCCCATTTTTATTTTCACTGTAACCCAGGGTGTAGGAGGGAAAGGTAGCTGGAAGGTATTGTTATTCTCCATATTTTACAGGTGAAGAAACTGAGGCGGACAAAGATTAAGTGACTTGCCCAAAGTCACATAGCTGGTAAGTACTTGAGGCTAGATTTGAACTCTGGTTTATCAGACTCTAGGTCTTTCCATTGTGTTACCTATCTGCCTCTAGGTAAGGAAAATGCCACTAGAAGTTGCTCTAGGTGTCCAAAAATTACCTGAGTCTAAATTATTTGTTTTTTTTTATTTGATTTTGAGTCCCTCTCTACGCTTAATGTAGTGTTTTAAATGCAAGTATCATCAACCCCTAGAAGAAGCTGGGTAGTGAAGAGAGCAAGGCCTGGAATCTAAAAGACCTGAGTTCAAACCCAGCCACGTACACTAGCTCTTGAGGTTGGGCAAGTCATTTAACCTTTGTTAACCTAGCACCTTGTGGGCACTTAATAAGTACTTATTCTCTTCCCCCTATTTTACAGATGAAGAAATCTAGACTCAGAGAGGCCAAGTGACTGACCTGATTTAGTAGATGGTCCATGTTACTGTGAATTCAGGGCTTTTGACTGCTAAGACCAGTGCTATAGGAACCCATATAAATCAAGGAGTTTAAGAAGTTACCATATTATCAAAAGATAGCTTTGGTATTCTTCAGTAGATCCAAGAAGTGTTTAAATGAATTTGTGGGTGTTAAAATCTAAGAATAACATAACAAAGAGGGTCACTTGATGTGAAAAACTGTTCTGATTGGGAGAAGGAGACCTAGTTTTTAGGTTCTGGCTATGCCAACCACTTATCTCTCTGGGGGCTTGATTTCTCCTTCTGTGAAACGAGGGGGCCAGACTAATCGTTTCCACGTCCAAAATTCTATAAATTTTTGCCATGTTAGGTGCATCCTTAAATTGTTAGGACATAGAGGACAGTTGTGCTATCCCATAAATGTGAAATTTTCTGTATAATTTCCTGGTTGGACTTGACCTGACTCAATATGGTATTTCTTATTTTCCGTGTAGAATAGGAAGAACTGCTAAATTTCTTCTTTTAAGAACTATTCTCTCCAGAGTAGCTGATCACATGTTGGTGATCTTCAGGATCATCTTTTGCAACATTTTCTAGTAAATACAAGAAGGAAATTAAGTTTCAAGTGACAGGTCAACAACCTTACAAAATTGATATGCCAAGCCCAACCCCTCTAGCATTCTGCAGGACTATAGTATATCAACTGAGATTGTGTCCTGATTCTCACTGGAAATAGGAAAAGGGTTTATCCTGAGTCCTCATCCATTCAGAGTGCTTTTTTTTTTAAAGCACCTGTTTGCAGAGTAATAACTTGCATTGAAAGAGAAACAAAGTCTAATTAAGACATAATCCCTACGTTCTGAGGTCTGATAAAACAGTAATTTTTGTTTTGAATTGTGGAGTGAGGGCCTGGAGCTCAGATGATAGGTGAGGATTAGAATTGACTCTCGAAATGAAGAGGGTGGGGGCTGGGATTGTCAGTGGTTTACCAGCTCACCGATGAAAAGTGGGACTTAGAAAGAGTCGGTAGACTAGATCGCTTCTGAGGCCCCTTTTTAGTTCTCAGTCTGAGACCCTAAGACATTCAGTGTGCACACCTTCTGGGCATCAACTAATGAGAGTTCACAGATGTATAGGGCCAGCTACCATTGTTGCACCATGGAAAACCAGAGCATATATCATCTTTGGTATGAATGTTACAGATTTCCAGCTTCTAGGTGCTGATTGTGCAACTCAGGCACAGACTATTGCAAAAAATATTTAACAGAAAAGACACTTAAGTTAGGCAACTTGGCAAATCATGGGATTCATGGTTTTTTCTGTTTGTTTGTTTGTTTTAAATTTTGATCACCCTGAACCAGATCATGGTGTTTGTACACTCAGAGGCAAGGTCTGTAAACTGTCTCTGCTCACTGGAAAATTGGAGCCTTGACTATAACATGGGCAATTCGTTACAAAACAAATACCTTTCTAACATGGAGAATATAATTTTATCTTCTAAAAATATGTGTATTTATCATTTTTCCCCAGATATGTTTAAGTTAAAAGTGTTCTTTGTTGCTCCTCTTGATCTCCCAATATATGTTGCACCTCACACCAATGCCCTGGGCAGCTATTTACCTTGCTTATACCCCAGTCTTGGCTCTCTTGATCACTTATGTCCCATACTCTGATGTTCACACTGGGGATTTTGGAAGTTTATGTAATATTTTAAACTTAAGGAGAAAACCTATAGTTTCTAGATATATCAAAAATAACAGGTAGTTAACTGCTTTAATATTAAAGGATTCGTGTGATGTATTATGTTGCTACCCCTCTAGTTACTGAATTGTTTTTTACTTTCTGCTCTTAAGCATTTTGTTTCAATTGGTAGGGTAGGATTGATCATCAGGAAGAATGCAGATTAGCTGTGATGTGGTTTGGCCCTCAATAGGATCCTAGTCATTTCAGCTTAATAGGCTACCTGATAATTTTGAATAAAGCTGCCAAATTTAATTTTCTTCCTCACTCTAGATCAGAATTTCTTGGGAAATTTTATAAATATACAGCAGCTAGTATATGGTAGCTTGCTCTGTTGATGAATTACAAAAGCTTTTATGTTATTTCAAATGCAGGTTGCTGAGAAAAACCAATAGATGAGTCATTTTGTGTTAAATGACTAGAACCAAAAGACAGTATTAATGATTCGATGTCAACTTGGAAGGATGTTTTCAGTGGGATGCCCCAGGAATCTGTGCTTTGTCCTGTACTGTTTAACATTTTTGTCATTGTCTTGGTTAAAGGCATAGATGGCATTCTCATCATATTTGCAGATGACCCAAGACTGGAGGGGGAAGAGGGAGTAGCTAACATATTAGATGACATTCCGGATTCAAAAAGATCTTGACAGGCTAAAATAATAGACCCAGTCAAACCAGATTAAATTTAATAGGGATAAATATAAATTCTTATGCTTTGGAGTTCAAAAAAATCAATATTACAAGGACAAGTTGGGAGTTATATAGCAGTTTGTGTTAAAGAGATCTAGAGGTTGTGTGATTCAGCAGTATGAGATGGAAGCCAAGGAGGCAAATGTAATCTTAGATGTAGTATCTGGTCTTTCAGAGGTGATGGTCTGCTTGTCCTCTGCCCTGGTCAGACCGTCCATAGTATTGTGTTCTTGTTCAGTTCACATTTCAGGAAAGACATTGACAAGCTAGAGACAGTCCAAAGGAGGACAACCAGTATGGTGAAGGACCTTGACTTCATTTTATATGAGTATCATTAGAAGGAACTGGCCTGGGGGCAGAGGATGTTTTGCCCAGAGAAAAGAACACTTAGAATGGACATTATACCTGTTTTCAAGAATTTGAAGGGTTGTCACATAGAAGAGGGATTAGATTTGTTTTGCTTGAATCCACAGGGCAGAATTTGGAGGATCAAGTAGAAGTTTCAGAGAGGAAAATTTAGACTTGATAAAAGGAACTACAAACAGAACTACACACAAATGGAAAGGCTGTCTCAGGATGTGGTGGTTTCCCTATTTCTGCAGTTCTTCAAGGAAAGGCTGGATAACAAATTCCTAGGTATGATGGGCAGGGAATTTTTATTAAATAATTCCGGGTTTAAGGCATGAACTTGGAAAAGACAAAGGCTCATATTTCAGATGGCTGATAACAAAATAGAACTATATTTCTGACCTTCAGTTGTTCAGTAAGTTTTCAGTCATTTCCAACTCTTCATGAACCTATTTGGGGTTTTCTTGGCAAAGATACTGGAGTGGTTTGTCATTTCCTTCTCCCGCTCATTTTACAGATTAAGAAACTGAGGCAAACAGGCTTAAGTGACCTGCCCAGGGTCACACAGCTAGTAAGTGTCTGAGGCCAGATTTGCACTCAGGAAGATGAATCTTCCCAACTCACAGCCCAGTATTCTATCCACTGGGCTGCCTAGCTGCTCCTTGGTTAGACCTCCTCCTATTCTGGCAGTAATTGAAAAGTGGGGCCAGAGCAGCAGCAACTTCTGTCTCTTATTCCTTCCTCTGAGGGAGAGGTGAACATAGGTAGAATGGTGAGGAAAAAATTTTTTTTTGCAGTTGTTCAACTTTCAGCAACCATATTGACTCTGAAGACTCAACCCAAACTAATAATAACAGTAGTTAACATTTACATGATGCTTTAAGGTTTACTAAATGCTTTACTTATGTTATCTCATTTGATCCTCATAACAACTCTGAGATAGGTACTATTATTAACCCCATTATTATGGATGAGGAGACTGACCTAGATATATTTGGTGATTTTCTCTGGGTTATACTGCTAGTAAATGTATGAGGTAGAGTTAGAGCTGAAGTCTATCTGACTTCAAGTCCAGTGCTTTACCCTCCATGCCCCCTAGGCAACTCTAGGCCATTCTGGAGCTAATTAGCCGGGTCCTTTGCTTTTCTACCTTCCCCTTTAGTCGCTCCCACTAAGGAGTAATAAAAGGAATTACAACTCTAACCAGTCAATTTAATTACTAGTTAGCTACCCTGATAAGTTATTCATGCAGTAATTATTTGTTGAGTGCCCATTATGTTCAAGATTCTGTATGGGGGTTAAGAACACATGATCCCTGCTGTCACAGAGCCTACTGTTTATAATGATAACATGGGGCAGCTAGGTGGCCCAGGGGATAGAGCTCTGGCCTTGGAGTCAGGAGGACCTGAGTTCAAATGTGGCCTCAGACACTTGATACTTACTTGCTGTGTGACCCTGGGCAAGTATTGCCTCACCAAAAATAAAAAACAAAAAACAAAAATAATAATGATAACTTGCATTTATGTATCATTTTGCAGTTTTCAAATAACTTTCCCATGTTGTTTAAGATATAGCTGATGCTATCTTCCCCATTTCACAGAGGAAGAAACTAAGGCCTAGAAGTTGAAATGATTTGTGCAAGGTCACTTGGCTACTAAGTAGCAGAGCCAGAATCAGAAATATGACTTAGTACTCTGAATTTTTCACAGTACCTCTAATTGCCTATGGTGTTCTCCTATAAACAGAAGTAGTTGACAGTTGAAAAGAATGTGCATCAAAGAATTTGTCTCAGAAGAGTGATGTGTATCCCTTTCTTGCCAGGCAGATCATGCCTAACGTGTGCAACATATTTTGTGCAAGCATGTTTTTGTACTGTTAATATTACTCTTTCCTGTCTCCAAAAATGCTGTTTAAGTTAAAATTTTTAAAAACTTAAATTAGAAATTATATTAATTTAATGGAGAAAAACTTAGTTACCTCATTATTCAGTACCACGGTTGTGGCTAATCTTTTCTAGAGAAATGTTACCTACCTAAGGAATTTTGTAGAGTTATAAACTGTTTTCCTTTTTAAAGGTTTATTTCTTAGAATGTCCAAAATCAGTAATGTTATTTTGAAGGATAGATCTATGATTCTGTTATTTAGAATTGGTATTTTATTTTTAAATGCAGAAAAAGCCCTTTATTTTTAACCTGCAATCCCATTCATCTTTTTTATATGATCAAAAAGTCCTTGAAATAATACTCTTTTTTTCTTTTAACTTTTAGAAACCTATGGAGTTTAAGAAAGCAATGGATTTCAGTGGAATTCACTGAAGAATTTTGTGACTGAAGTTTTAAAATGGTAAAGGTTCAGCAGTGTGTGGTGTCTAACAAGTTACCTAGGAAGAGGCCATATATTTGTAATATTTGCTTCAAGCACTTTGAAACACCATCAAAATTAGCCAGACATTATCTTATTCACACTGGTCAAAAGCCATTTGAGTGCCATGTGTGTCATAAAACTTTTAGGCAACTCGTTCATCTGGAAAGACACCAGCTAACTCACAAGCTGCCATTTAAATGCAGTATTTGTCAGCGACACTTTAAAAATCTAATAACCTTCTTGAAACATCAGCAGCTCCACAATGAAACCTACCAGAATGATGTAAAGCAAGTCAAAAGATTGGTGGAATCCAAGCAAGAAAAGCCAACTTATGGGGTGTACCGTTCTTTTTCAACAGAAGAGAGGTGGGTATTACATCCATCCTCCAAGTCAGATCATGTGTATGGCACTGCAAGGAAAAGAAAGAAAATCCATGCATGTGATACCTGCAGCAAGATGTTTCCATCTCGCTCAAAGCTGGAAAGGCACTTACTTATTCATACTGGCCAGAAACCTTTTAAATGTTCTCTTTGCAGTAAGTCATTTAGACAGTCAACTCATTTGAAAATCCATCAGCTAACACATACAGAAGAGAGACCTTTTCAGTGTTGCTTTTGTGAAAAGGGATTTAAGATTCAAAGCAAACTTCTAAAGCATAAACAAATTCATACCAGAAAAAAGAATTTTCAGACTATTTCATTCAAGAAAAAGAGTCCAGAGCCACGCTCAGCACCAATTAAATTAAATTTAAAGCAGGATGGTTTTGAAAATGATGACACACAGGAACCTGAGGAGGATACTCCAATTGATGTTGACTCTGTTTATATCGTCCCTTTTCAATGTCCAGAATGTGAGCAGTGTTTTGAATCAGAACAGATTCTTGGTGTTCACAAATGTTTTCGTGCAGGAGATGCTAAAAATACAAACAGCATCAAAAGAAACCACAACTATAAAACTAATGTTAAAGGTAAAGTTCTGACTAAGCTTAGGCGAGGTGCGGATAAGCAGTTAGATGCCTTTCGGTGTGACAAAAAGAAGTTTAAAACTAGGTTCTTGAAAAATCGTGATCTTCTTGGGGAGCAAAGCTCTGATCAGAATGCCTCACCTAAAACCTTTAAGAGTCCTCATGGCAAATTTGGGTCTTATAAGAAAGTTAATAGTAGTAAAAAGAAAAGACATTTGCCATTTTCCTGGCAAAAGCAACTTCAGAGCCCTAGTGCAGAAATCAATTTGAAAGGTACTATTAATAGTGAAGGTATTTTAAATGTAGATGATTCAGTGAATAATGACATTACAATTTATAGTCCATCTGGTGAGGACTTCTTTGATGATCCTGAAGCGCTTCAACATGCGCTTTCAGCTCCCACTGACGATCTGCATACAAGACATAAAATGTGTCCATGTGACAAATGTGAGAAGGTTTTTCCTTCAATATCCAAACTTCAAAGACACTATCTGATTCACACTGGACAGAGACCTTTTGGCTGTAATGTTTGTGGGAAGTCATTTAGACAGTCAGCTCACTTAAAAAGGCATAAGCTCACTCACATTGAAAAGATCCCTTTTAAAAGACCTATTTACCAGGTAGAATTTGAAAATTTAAACAAACTTTTCACTCATCCAGGAGACAGTTCTCAGTTGGTAGGTTATTCTGAGGCTTCTGATGATCAAGAATATAAGGTGACTGACTCAAGTGAAGTATCAGAATTCAAAGTTAGTACAGAGTCAGGAGATTTCATCCTTGTCACCCACGGTAGAAACATGCAGCCATATCTGTCTAAGAAACTGTTGGAGACGGAGCAGAGGCGTTATAGCCGTTACCACGGCTATTCGGGAAGTGCTGAGAAGAATGAAGGTCTGCTTTACCAGTGTAGTGTTTGTTTTAAAAGTTTCAGGTCTCCATCCAAACTCGAAAGACACTATTTAATACATGCAGGACAGAAGCCATTTGAATGTTCAGTGTGTGGCAAAACCTTTAGACAGGCACCCCACTGGAAGAGACACCAGCTTACTCATTTCAAAGAACGGCCCTAGGAAAATATGGTTGTCTTAAATTTGGTTATGTGACTGATAAAATCACCAACGCAATTGGTGCTAGGCAGACCACTGGCAGTATCCATAGAGATTTTGTTTTTAAAGTCTATTGCATTTGGAATGTGTGATTATCAGTGGGTCGACATTAGCTGAAAGGCAGGGACTATGTCTTATTCATCTTTGTATGCATGCCTTTCAGCACCTAGCATAGTGCCTTGCATATACTAGGCCTCAAGTGTTTGTTGAATTGAATGGAACTGAAATTGAGTGAATTAATATGCAATTGTTTGTCATGCATGGTAAGGTCATAGGATGAGAAAATAGTAAATATATTGTTAATGAGTATCCACCCATTTAAAAAATGATACTTGAGTGTCCAGTGTTTTATTTTAATGTTGCAAATATATGTGGTGGCTATATTAAAAGTATTATTGAAAATCACAATATGATATTCATTTTAGTGGGATTATTCCTTACAGTGTGCCATCTCTTTATATGTACACAAAAATGCAAGAGGCAGAAGGTGGTTCCCACGTGGAAGTAATAAACAGTCTTCACTGTGTTCCCTTTGTATTCCATATGACCTGAAAGTATAACTGACATTTATATAGTGCTTTATGGTTACAAAGTGCTTTAGATAGAGCATGCATTTGATTCTCACAACACTCTATTGAGGTAGGTTGTACAGGCATTACCTCCTATTTTAGATAAGAAAATTGATGCTGAGAAATCAAGTGATTTTGCCTATGGTCACACAGGTATGTGTGTAGTGGTAGAGTAGGCCTGGGCTGAAAATCAGGTCTTTTGACCATTGTTGTCCATTTACTACTCAGTTTTCATGGCAGAATCCTCTAGTTGCATTTTTAAAAAAATGAGAATTAATGGAAGTAAAAATGAATGAAAAATTCTTATAGCAACGTTCTGGTTGCTTATTTAACCTCTTTGAACCCTAGGTTTCTTCACAAAGAGGGAACATGAAATGTTTATTGAATTGAATTGACTATAATAATACTGCATTTCTTCTCAGGAGATAGAGGCAGACTTTTTCCATCACCTACTTTCATCTAAGGCCAGGGGTTCTTAACCTTTCTTATGTCATGGACCCCATTGTCAGTCTCATGAAACCTATAGACCCCTTTCTCAGAATAATATTTTTAAATGTGTAAAACAAAATACATAGGATTATAAAAGAAACCAATTCTATTAAAATACAGTTGCCAAAATATTAAGAAAGAAAGTTCTTAGACCCCAAGTTAAGAATTCCTGATCTAGGCAAAGGTTATGCTTTTACAATGCATTTGAAAAGTGGTTAAGTCGCTAGGCTTTACCCCTGCCCTGTTCAGTTGCCAGACCATGAATATTCTACAGCTTCCTTAATCTTTCTGACTGTCGTGACCAGATTTTCGTTTTAGAAACAGAATGATGCTCATCAGCCCACTTTCTCTGTGGTAACTACTAGATAGGTCTACCAACAGTACTTAGTTGTAGATTAATGACCTGTCATTTAGCCCTGTTTCCTTCATACCTGAGCTCCTTTTCATAAAACTGTCAACTCTGCTTTTCATGTAGTGGTGCCAGCAGTTAACAACAGCTGCATCTATCGATTGTTATTTTACCCTCCATATTTTGTCCTCCATCCTCGTGCAGAATTCTCATGTTAGATAATACTTTGGTCCTAATCCTTTCTTAGACAATTATGCAGCATCCTGATGTATTTGAAAGCAAATTTGATCTGGAGTCAAGGGAAGGCAGTCTTATGGGTGACTGTGGGTAAGTTATTTAACATCTCTGGTTATCTTATTCACCTGGAGAATGAGTCAGGGTTGGACTAGATGATCTAAGGTCTCTTGTAAGTCTAAATCTATAATGTTATGTATTTAGAGATTATTCCTGTTAATAAGATGCTCATCATAGGAATGTAGTAATCACTTGACAAAATAAAACTTATGGTTTGGAAAACTTTCATTAATATGGAGCTGTAAAGGAAGCATGATGAATGCAACTTCTTTTTGGATTTAAGGATTTAATCCTATTTGGAATAAGGATTTCTGGTCAATACAGGTAAAGCGTAGAGGTATCATGGACTAGGGGATAGAGAGCTGGGCTTGGCATTAGAAAGACCTGGGATCAAATTCTAGGCTTGCCACTTACCAGCTGTGTGGCAACCCTGGGCAAATTATTTAACCTCTGTGTGCCTCAGGCAATTTCTTTGGACTAAGGAGTTATAGAGAAGTTGCTGTCTACTTTGTTGGACTCAGTTAAAATCAGTGGTATTCTTAAAGGGAAAGAACCAGCATATTCATATGACGGAATAAAACAACAGGTGAGTACTTGTAGGACACTTAAACACTTTAAGAGATTCATTTCTTTTTTTTTTTTAAGGGACTTATTTCTGAAAGGGAATTCAGATAAAGAATGAAAAGTTTTGTACACTATTTTGAGAGCATCCCTACCTTTTTGGCTCAATATTTACAAAGAAAAATACATAAATACAAACAGAAATTTGACTTTTATACAGTTACTCCAATAAAAACACCCAAGTAATGGGGACCTATTAAATGCTTAAAAAAAAAAAAGAATGTTTCCTTTAAATATTGAATTCTGCTGATACAGGTAAAATGATTTCAATTGTTAAAAATTTATTTTACACAGAACTTTAAAGGTTACACACATACACTACTACACAAAGTGTAACGGTATTTAATTTTGTCTGGATGGATTTAAAGGAAGATGATAAATTTTCTGTAGACCTTTTAAAGAAGAATCATGGTTTTTACTTGCATTGGCATAGATTATTGGTTGAATTTAGTTTGGATGAAATTTGTTCCACTCCCAAACTACATAGAGAGAATTGGAACAGGCTTATGTAATTTTTCTTAAAGGAGGAAAGTTCTTTACTTACCTGTAAATGTTATTATTTAAATACATTTTCTGCCTATTTTTTGAGTTGCAAAAATCTAAAAAATTGTCAAAGTAGAGCTTTGAAGTACCTGTAACAGATCATCTATCTATTTGTGTTGTACACTTTATGTGGAGATTTTAGAAATGTGAATATATGCTACATAAATCTTATTTTAATAAGATTAAGAATTAGATGTCAAAATAACTGATGGACTGCTGCATGCTAGAATCAACTGTTTTTTGTTTCTGAGAAGAATAAACTTCATAAAACTCTAAAGAGCACTGGATCTTATTTTTTTAATTGTCATGTATTAAGTTGATAAATTATCAGTTACACAACTGTTATATAGAAGCTTGGTAGAGCTAGTGGAACTGTTTCTGTAAAACTGTAGTTAAACTCAAGAAAAGTTAAAAAATGAGCAAGTTCTTATATTGATGATTTCTCCAAATTACAGAAAATTTAAAAATATATTAGTTTCTGCAAACATTACTCCCTAGAAGGTCAACAGTAACTTCCTAATTCCCAAAACATTAACGTCTTTTCTGCCCTGGGCCTTAAATTCTCTATGGAATATAACACTTTATAGCTCCTTGCCTTCCTCTCTTCCTCCCTCCCTTTTCCCCTTTGTGTTGAGTATATATAGGGTGACATTTGGATTTAGTCTACCATCAGCAAAGTTCCCCACCTGGAAGCGCCAGGACCACTAGCTTCAGGGTCAGAGAGTATAATCAATGATGAGATTGTGAAGGATACCCCAAAGTACCAATGTTTCACTAAGATTGCTGTTAAGTTGGCAGACTGAGCAGTATACTTCACATAAATGCCACCAGTTTCTTTCTGTTTTACAAAATACCCAATCTGGGTCATACAATATTGTCATCGACGCAAGCTACATGCTTATACTGTCACTGCCTAAACACACATCAGTGATATTCCTCTAAAAGCCCATTCCAAACTGGTTCTCCCATCTCTTACCCCATTACACTGTGGCCTGCTCTGTTTCCAGGAAACTATATGGAGCAATGCAAAGAACATTTTAAGTTACAAGACCTGAGTTTGAAGGCCAGTGCTGCCACTTACACTTTTTGTGAGTCCTTGGGCAAAACATTTAATTTCTCAAGGTCTCAGATTCCTCATCTGTAAAATGAAAATTTTGGACTAGATTTCAAAAATCTCTTTTTGCTCAAGACCTGTGATCCTATGTTAGGATTCCCTGAGTCTTTGGCACTCAAAAGTCTGTTCATTGAATCTGCTTCATCCTGCCTAAAGAATCCAAGTCTTTGTCCCTCTGTCTGACTTAGGTTTAAAGAGTCTTTGTAATTGCAGTTTGCCATTTCCTTCTCCAGCTCATTTTACAGATGGGGAAACTGAGGGTTAAGTGACTTGCCCAGAGTTGCACAGCTAATAAGGCTGAGGCAAGATTTGAACTCAGGTCTTCCTGATTCCAGGCCAGGTACCCTATCCAGCATGCCACCTACCCGCCTCCAATCTCCAACTTGAATCCCTTTGAAATGATTTCAGGGGCTGCCTTCCAACAAATCCAAAAGGACTGTTTGTGTCTGATGCCCTGTGATTTTCCTTAGCCTTTGATATCCTAAGTGGGATGCTACATTTGGTGGGATCAACTTTTATCTCAATTCTTTACTCCAAATTATTGCCTTTATTATGTATGTGTAGCTAGCAACAAAACTCCTAGGCTTTGAGCCAGCCTCTTATTTTAGAATTATCTGTGCATATGCTGTTTCCTCCTAGAGGATTTAAATTCCAAGAGGCCAGGCATTCTTTTATCTAAACTTTGTTTCTCCATATCTAGACTTTCCTCCACTCTCTAGTTTCCCTCCACTCTCCCACTTTTACTGTTCTGTAGTATCTCATGAAAGCTTCCTTTCTAGTTCATTGTTACTATGATCCACACTAATCAAGTTCTCATTACTTTTACTTAATTAAGCAATAAACTATTTTCTCAGTCTTTAATTTCTCCCCTCTCTAATCCACTGTTGCCTGATTGTGTAGTTTTACATTTATTGTCTTAAACATATCTATCCCCTACTAGATTATAAACAGGGGTAGGGCCTAGGTCATATTCATCATCACCCCGGCTTTTCAACCCTGCTTTTTTTTTTTTTTTTTGGTCTATCACTCAGTAACTAGATTAAATCAGGATCAACAAACTAAAGCCTATGGGCCAACTTTTGTATGACCCTCAGGTCGTAGTTTGCCATCCTACACTAGATGAATGAAATTGGGAGTAGTGTATGGCATCCGAATTGCAATATTTTAATTAGTAAAATCCAAACTGCAATATTTTTTAGCAATATTTCACTGGGTTTTCTATTTGTTTTCTTTAATAACACTTAGCATATTGTTGATTTAAAAATGAAGGCAATGAGAAGATGCTCAGTGGCTTTAAATGGGCTACAGTATGTTATCAAAGGCAACTTACATATACAAATATGATCAGAGATAGTATGGAGGTAGGCCAGTTATAGTGAGAGAGACATTCCGTGTTGTCTTGGGCTTGACCTGACTCAAGTCACTCCTCTGGTAATTGAAGTTCCATTTGGGAACAGAGTCATTTAAGAATTAACAAAAGGGAATTTACTTAGCCATAGCAGGAAAAGTACATTCAACAAAGATGCACTTGAGAAACCCTTTGGTGGATCAGGCTGACTGAAGCTCCCATTGTGGTCCACTAGTCAAGCATCTCACAGCCCCCCTAGATCCTTGTGGTTGCTTTGTACTCAGGCAATTAGGAAGTGATATATGAATTCTTAATCTTCTGAACCAACCAAGTCTTGAGGAATGTCTCAATACAATTTAAGGAAAAGCTAGCCTAAACTGCATGGAGGAAAGGGTAATAAAGATGTTGCTAGTAACATATATACATGAGATGGACAACTCAAATGGTATACTGGTACCTCCAAAATACTTAAAGAATAAGGTTAAAGCCTCCAGTTTGTTGGATAGAAACTCTGGAGCATTTGTTAAGAAAATGCAGAAAAGAATCACAAGGTAAGGTTATTGTCAGTCACCTTCAAAGGATAAGAATAGGAGAGAGATAGAATTGGAAAAGAGCGAATATTGTCTTGCTTTTCAATTAAAAAAAAAAGGAAGAATGGAGTCAACAAATTATATGTCTGTGAGCTTAGAATTTTGGGGACATTCTAGGAGTAGTATTAAAGTTATAGTTTGTAAGCATCTAGAAAAACCAATAATAACCAATTGCATGGCTTCAC